TTTGGCAAAGTCATTCAATGCTTTTGGGTGGTGCGACCCTCCTCGCCTCCGTCCCAAAAACCTGCCCAACGCATGCTGTTTTGCTGCCCATCTTCGCTTTGCACTTTGTGATCAAGCTCTGCAGCCAACCCTCAATTTGTTGGCGGCACTCCGTCCCCAGCTTGTATGTGAGGACTCTGTTGAGCTAGTTCCAGTTTTGAAGCGGCGAGCCCGTGTTGTAGTCCAAAAAACATTGGCCATCTCAATCGCAGCCTGGCGAAATGCACCGCACTGAATCAGAGCGCCAACGCACACAAGCCATAGCTTCATGGGCCGGATGAGGTGGAATGGAATTTGGAAACCTACTTTGAATTGGCTGAGAGGCACAACAGGACTATGAAATATGGATCAGGGCCCCAAACACTGCCTGCGAGCAGGAGACGACTGACACAAAACTCCGAATGAATCTTTCAAGGCCGCACCATATGCTCATCTGTTTCAGCAAAAAATGCACCAGTCAAACTCGCAAGTGGTTCCGAACTCTCCATGGTTAAGTCCCTTAGACGATGTTGTAGTTTTGTATCCCCTCTTAACTCGACACCCTGTTGGCTCAGTGCAAAGACTCCCCGACCTCCGCTGCACCGTAGTAAAGATGAGCATTCAGCTCAAGGTGAACTTTCGCATACTGCTCCTGTCCAGGGACTCGACACTTAGTCTTTGTCTTGTTTCATCTTCCGGCCTTGGGGATAGAAGAGAGTTGGGCCTTAAGCTCTGAATGTTGTTTTAGCGGAGACTGCCCAAGCCCAACATGAGAATGCCAATGCGGGCGTTGGCTTGTTATGGTTTTATCCTCCCGGCACTGTGGCTTTGCGACTTCAAGGTTGGTACAAGCGTACAAAGCACGTCTAGGCCGGTCTAGACTCTTGACACGAACATCGCACATTCTACTGTCGACTCCAACATCTGTGATGCCCGAGACTTCTGGGAGCCAGCAAAGCTTGGAGGCCAAGCTCGGGCTGCAGCTGCAGTGCATTCAAAACTTGGCCTTCAGGCTTTGGGCTTCGGGCCTTGGTAGTACTGGTAAGTCGTGGGTTGGCAATCGTTTATACCGTTTACATCTTCGTAGAAACCCAGCTGTCAAACTTGACAATCTCTACCTCAAACCCGAACTCCCGTTCCAGGCCTGCTCCCCTTGTAGGGGCTGTACACACGAATAACAGCTAACCAATAGTAAAATGTGTTATTTCCTGCGACAAGGACAGAACGACTCAGCGGGTCTTGAAGGCGAACACAAGCGAACCAACGCTTCCAAACTGTAGACCTAAGAAACGCTCTCTTTGGGGTTTCCGGCATCTGTCAGTGCTGTCTTTTTTGGAAACTCTCGCATGCCTCCGGCGAGGAGGGATACTCCATGCGGCTCTCAGGCTCGGCCTGAGAGATAACAAAATCTGCCGTCCACGTGGTGTACCAGACTCCTGTGCTATCGGGCAGAGCATGCGGCATTTACATGTCGCCTTCCACCATACCTGACTTACAGTTTGAAGCAGATTTTTGTTGTTCCAACCCTCATGTACGACATACAGGTGTCATGCATATATGTCAAAGGATACAAATAATCAGATAATACGTGCAGACATACATACATACATACCTACCTATATACATACATACATACATACATACATACATACATACATACATATGTAAATATAAGTGTAAGTACATGTGTATGTATGTACGGATGTATGCATGCATGTATGTATGTATACACATAACCAGGATTCGTCGGCCTGTTCCCCGCTACGTGGCTGCTTTGGCTACCGGTTTTCCATCTGCTTTGGTTTAGGGTTTGGGCGGCCGAGAGGTCTGAGGTCGGGGAAAGGACCACCCTACCCCACGGGGCGGGGATACTATGGGGTGGGAGGTTAAATTTACAAAACCATGCATTCAGTTCATTCATTTGTGCATATTGCACTGAGTTAGTCCTGTGGCTGCGTGGTCTTCTTATCCGCTGCTTTGTCTGGGTTTGTTCTGTATTCTAACTAGATGAATGAACACGCACCAAATGTCATGTGTTTCATTTCTTTCAATTGGAGCACAGCACGAGTGTCAGAAATTCGGATGGCAGGGTTCCGTTCATTCATTCACTACACCTTACCTGAGATGGTGAGGAACGAATGCACGAGAGCCAAATAAACGAAATGAAACAGTGCGAGCGTGACTTACCATTCGTTTCACTGGTGTATTGAGATCCTTTTCGCATGACACCCAAGAACTGAATGGAAGGTTGACGTTCCAGCTTGGGTGGTTCTTTGTTTGTTCTCTTTGCTTATTTATCGCTTTCATTTCGTTGCACTCAGCATATTATTCGCGAGTACACGGTCCACCTTGTTGCCGCTTCCTTCTCATGCTTGGAATGTAACTGGTGCTTCGCGATGTACTGAAAGGAGGAATGGAAGCACGAAAGCACCAACTAAAGCAAAGGGAAAATGGAATCAGGCGCAAGGAACACATGACTCACGAACCACCGTTATGCTCTCACCTTCAAGAATCGCCTGGCCGGTTCATGCGCTCGATTCTGTCAAGTCTATGTCAAAGGCACCGCACGCTTCCTTTCATTCACTGTCTAGCTGCCTTTCCAAACGAGATCAACACTGGAACGCATTTGGTTCATCATAACCTAGAGAACCCAATTATGTTCTTTGTTTCGTTCGTTGTCTTGTTTCGTCAAAATTAAATCATGCATCACTCCGTTATAACTAAAAACCAAGTATTCTACAGGGGAGCGAAATTAGGAACCCCAAAAATAGGAATGTCACTTCTGATTTAACAGATCCTGGAAATAGGACGGAGCCATTTGATTGTAGGTTTGCTTCCAGATGATAACGAAAGCCTGTTGAAAAGATCTGATGTTATGGTTAGTGGCGAGTTCTCGATCTCTGCTGCCCAGCTTAATGCAATGACAGCAAGCGAAATTTAACACAAGGATGTAGCGCCTGCTTCATTCAATAAAGCTCAACACCATGAACGAAACTACAAAATGCCAAAGATTCCATCGTGCTATGCTCTGATTAAAGCAAAGGGCGTCCCTTCATTCTTCATTCCCCTACGTCCTACGCTTTTATTGGTGAAAACATGCGCCAGCTAAGATTGGTAGGAAAAGGAAAGGAACAGAACAGTGAGCGAAGGCAAGCACAAGGGAATTCTGGACCAACTAATAACTAATAAAACACACCAATCCAACCGTCCATTGTTTCGTTCGGCATTCGCTCCACTTTCTCGCTTACATTTATTTCACGAATTGCTCTAATTATATACATGTAGAAAGCGGCAACATAAGCACTCTCTTCACACATCACCAGAGGATAGGAAAAGTTGAATGAAAGCAGCTGTTCAGAAAGGTCCATGTGTGTCCTATCGTAGCCTGTCAATGAAGCCAATGTATGCTGGTGGTCTAGCGGTCTGGTTTCGCTGTTTCGTGATCTGTTTTACTGAATCATGCATCCGTTTGTTGCGTTCATTTCTTTATACTGCCGCAGGACAAAAGTTCGCAACATGGGCTGTAGCTCAACATATGGGGATCGACATAACAACGAAAAGTTCAAACTGTAGAACCCCGATTTGATCCTTCAAGTCGTTTGGTGCCCAAACCACTTTTACTTCTCATGTCCCTCATGCACCATTTCACCAATTGCCTTGGTCTTATGAGGTGAGGAGGACTTACCGTAAGGGGTGGTTGCGCACCCGAAACCACTTCACCAATTAACTTGGGCCTATGTCTGATCCCATAAAAGATTTCACAGGTTTGGCCCTAACCCATAAACCATTTCACCAATTAGCTGGGCCAGCTCACCATTTCACCAATTGGTTTGGGTCTAACCCATAAACCATTTCACCATTTCACCAATTATAGCCATTTCACCATTTCACCAATTCGTTTGGCCCTAACCCACAAACCAGTTCACCATTTCACCAATTGGTTTGCCCCGAACCATAAACCATTTCACCATTTCACGAATTGGGTTGAACCTGACCCATAAACCATTTCACCATTTTACGAATTGGGTTGGCCCTAACCCATAAACCATTTCACCAATTGCTTCGTCCCTTACCCATAAACCATTTCACCATTCACCAATCAGTTTGGCCCTATGAAAGTAAGGAGGTCTGGCCATATGGGGAAATGAATGGTAAATGGTGAACCGGCCACATGGGGGAAATGAATGGTGACATGGTTTATGAATTAAGGCCAAACTAATTGTTCAAATGGTGAGATGGTGATATGGTTTATGGGTTAGGGCCAAACTAGTTGGTGAAATGGTGAAATGGTTTATGGGTTCGGGCCAAACTAATTGGTGAAACGGTTTATGGGCTAGGCCAAACCAATTGGCGAAATGGTGAACTGGTTGAGGGGTTTTGCAGGACAGCGAGGAAATCCGGGGGGATATAACATTTCCCATATATATATATATATATATGTCTATGTATATATACACACCCATATATATATATATATACACACACACATAGATACATTTTACGACCACACACATATTGTATAAATGTAACACATGTATATATATATATATATATATATGTATGCCTGTCTGATATACGTAATCGCACATGCTACTGTGTGTGAACAGTGTGTGTAGTGGGTGTACATGCATACTGACTTGCCTCCACACCTGTCTACCTACCGACTGATAGACAGACAGAAAGAAAGACAGACAAACAAACAGACAATATGTACATACACAGAATCTTACTTTCGCTATGTGGTTTGGTATATATAGTACACGCACATATTAATGAGTGCAGCCCGAAGGCTTGGAGTGACTTCGAGTTTACAGGCCAGTGACCCGAGGGAGCAGTGGACCTGGGTACACCTTACAACTTCCCGGCTTAAGGAGCAAACTGCCAGTTAATGGCAAGATTGATGCTTACAATTTCGAAACCTCGCCCGCGGCAGGAGGGGAGGTCGTAAAATTTGCATTTGGTAGAAATTACAAGTTTGACCT